CAGGAAGCCTTTCCACTCCCATCAGCAGCATAGTCGTTACACAGGAGCAGTTCTACCCTGTCCGTAGGGTCGCTGTGAGCCAGGATTGAGTTTGGCAGTCACCGCGAGTTTGGTTTGGGGTTTACCTGTCTCCTGATTCTCAAGTGTCCCTTCCGGTCCCCAGACTCTTTCCCTCCTGGGGCAGCGTCCTTGAGCAGGGGCTCTGGGCTCCTGTCATGCTGGTTGTGTGCCAAGTGGATCCTGACGCATAGTATCCAAATAGGACAGAGTAGAACATCCCCACGCGGTTCCCAAGCCTGTGATATTCATGGGAGCAGAGCGCCAAGGCTTGCCCACAGGGTGGACGGGAACTCAAGCTGCAGAGCTTGTGGCTCGCAGCACAGCCCATCACCAAGATGCAGTTCATACGGGGGAGGGGAGGCACTGCCGACCCCTCTCAGAGGGGTCCCAATAGGAAGTCCTGGATAGAGTGGGGAACAAGTATGGAACAAAAGTCAAATTCATTTAAAAAGAGGCGAGGCTTACTGATCAGAGAGACTGGTGGAACTCCATAGACTCCGGCCCTCAGACACCGCCCCTGAACTCAACCCATGTGAGTTAGTTTATTGTGCCAACCTGGCCGATAAACACATGTGGGGTCAATTGAAGGGTGGAGGGATAAAATGGCTCGGTGAACCTCGCCTTTCTAGTTCTCGGGATTCTTGCTTTCTGATGGTTGGATCAGGGTGCAGTTGCCTTAGCCAGTTCCCTGCTTTAGCTGGCAAGACTCACTTCCCTGAGGGGAAGCCACAAGGACCTACCCCGTTGCAGCCCTGAGTGCTAGAGCACCGGTATAGAGATCCCTGCTAGTGCTGAGATGCTTACACATTCACTGACTCAGCTTTCCTCCTGCAGTCGGCATTGTGTATGTTTTGTGAGATGGAGGAGGACTTTGTGGATTGGTGTTGGACATATAGGTTAATGGGCTAATGTTGGACTTGTGGGCTTGGGCAGCACTGGGTTGGTATGTTTTCTTGATGTGCACTTAACCTTTATATAAAACTCTCTCTTTTATACATGAGTTTCTGTGGATTTGTTTCTCTAAAGTATCCAGACTGACACACCGGGGTTTATCTGTCAGTCACAGTAAGCTCCACCCTCCTTGCCATCGCCTCGGGTGGACTCATCCAGGTTTATAACTTGGCCAGGGAGGTGCCTGTGGCCCAGAACAAGCAGCCACGCAAAACAGAAGGCCGTGGACTGAGAGAGAAAGCCAGAAGGCAGGAAGGGACAGGGAAGAAGGACCAACAAGGCCGTACAGCCAAGGAGGGCGAGGGAAGAGTGCTGTGACGTCATGGGGCGGCAATCTGTGTCACAAGACACGTGTGCATTGTTGAGAGGGCAACCAATTCACTCTGTGAACTTCCCCCCAGCCCCCCGAGAGAGTGATAGCAAATAACAGCTCGAAGAACTTCCAGAGATGTTTAAAAGAACTGTTTCTTTAGCGAGGGAAAAAGCTTCCCCACAGAGAAGTTAGAGACTTGTAGGCCATGGGTTCTAGAGCTGGAGTGATCTTTAACAACAATAGAAGCCCCAAGCGGGAGCAGCCTTCCGAAATAGCTGAAACAGACCAGAATGCTTGACTCTCGTTCATTCACCAACCAAGTGCATGGCTCTGTGCTGTGCCCAGACCAAAACAGACGCAGCCCCCGTTGAAGAGGGTCTGCTCATCTAGGACAAGACAGGGGCTGTTCCCTCAGCCTGAAGTGCCATCAGCCAGTCCTCTCTGTAGCTTTGTCCTTCAGTGCACCTTTTCTGGTCCCATGTGCCCACCTCCCTCTTTAGAAAGAAGCCTTGTTTCCCTTCTGTTCTTCTGAGCTCTGCCCCTTAGGCTTCATTCTGCCTTTTCTTAGCGTCCCAGGTGCTGGCCCACTAAATCACAGACAGCTGAAGTGTGACTTCCTCATCTTGTGGGCCCCTGGTGTCACACCCTTAGCTGATGTTTGGTAAACATGATCCCTCTCACCTTTGGCTGTATATGAAGAAGAGATTTTTTTTTTAATCAGGGAAACCATCTTTATTATGATTATTTTAACAATTTTATTTACATAAAATTCATATATTACACAATTCCATGGTTTAAACATTTAAAAAGGCTTGTGAAGACATCACCAGATTCCATTTGACAACATTTTCTTCCTTCCTTTCATTAGCTCCCCATTTCTCCCTAACATCCTCTGCCATAACCCTAGGAAACTATAAATCCAGTTACCAACTCCATAGATCCACCCATCCTGGAGTTCACATCAATAAATCAGCCAACAAACCGCAAACATAAACAACAACAGCAAAATAAAAAAGAGGGAAAACCACAATTGAAAAAGAAAAGTAATAAAAACTAGAAAAAACATAAAATGAGTCAAGGAGGAACAAATGATAAGGTGTTAAATTTTAACCTAACTACATCTGTATTAACCCATATTCCAGTGCACTCTGTCTGATAGCAAGGCGATCCAACATCTTTGGTCAGCAGTCGGGGAATATTCTGGAGACTCGATCCATGTGGAGACCCTCCAAATGGATTTTGAGCTCTCACTGTCATCCATAGTCTTCTGCAAACTGGGTGCTCAGAATTAAAATTCTAATACAGCTCCCTCCTCTGGTCTTGGATTTTATTACGTACAATCCTTGGGTCAAGGCTGGTGTGCTTCTTCCACGTGGACTTAGTTGACATCTCACTAGATGGCTGTGCTTTTTAAAAAATATATGTAATATTTTTATTGACATATCTTACTCACTCCAATATACCCCTGCCCTTCCCATACCGTTTGTGGTTCAGTCCCATTGGATGGGGTTATACAATCGTCAATGCTTGCTATGAAAGACCATGAACTCCTGGCAAGAGCTCCTGAGCATGACCAACCCGAAAACGTGTCCTTCTGGATTCAAGGTTGAGGAGCAGGGGGGCTGGAAGAGCTGATGTTATCAAATTCAGGCCATGCCATATAAAACCCTCCACAGCAGACAGACAGCCAGAACACTTGCACAAGCACCTCCGAGAGTGCAGGCCAAGCACGGTGTGGCCCCAGCAGGGTGCCAGAGCCCTGTGGAGACCTAGGTTCAGAACCTAGCTCTGATGCTCACCAGCTGTGTGGCCTTCTGTAAGCCACTTACCCTCTCTGAGCCTTGATTACCTCCTTTGAAAAGGAAGGGTAACCCTCCTCCCTCTCGATGTCGTTAGAAGGATTCTAGCGACTACAGATGTGTAGATAGACATCATTCCAGCTTATGGGAGGCAACCGATGAGTGGTAGCAGCTAATTTTGTTTTTATGACCTATGATCAGTTATTGGAGGATGTGTGATGGAGCCTTTCAAGGAGGAGTTTCCAATTTAATGGCGTCTGGCTTTATACTAGCATTCTGCCATAATTACCTTACCGGAGTCATTGACCAGGATTCACCTTGAAGAAGTACCAAAGTTGTTCAAGGTCGGGAGTTACCAAGCTTTCCCCACAATGCCCCACCCTGTGGATAACAAGCAAGACCTGATGCAAAGAAGCAGAATGCAGCAGAGGCCGGCCTAGAGAGATGGCCCAGAAACAGTGCTTAGGGACAGTATCTACTCCTCTCAGCCCTAATTCTGGGAGCAGGCAAGGGCAGGGAAAAAAACAGCTTTCTAACGTCACATATTATGAGCCAGGTTACAATTGGTTGGATTCCTGGCTGATCTGAGCCCAAAGGTTGGGAGCCCATCTAGCAGGTAGGGCTTCAGGTCTGCAGGGTGGGAGGGAAGAAAAATGGATCAGAGGGGCCGGAGCTCCAAATGTACCAGGGCCAGGCCCAGGCGTGTGTGAAGAGCCAAAAACGTGTCCGGGGGGCGGAAAGGGATCAACCACTGCCTTGATGCTAGGGCGGAAGGGGACAGTCTCAACCCTCCCCTGGAGAGTCTTCACGCCCTCTTTCAGTGTCCCCAGATCCCTCCCTGGGCCTCACCTCCCGCAACCCAGCTCAGCTATCTGTAAGTCCTGCCCTTTCTCGCCATTCCCCTTTGATCCAGTCTCTGTCCCCATGGCTGCTGCCCTGCTCCAGGCTCCCCTCCCCTCCCCTCCCCTGGTTCACTGGCTCAGTGTCCTGTCAGCCTCCCACCTCTGCTCCTCCCCTCTGCCCTCCATTCACACCAGGAAACCTGGCGACCTCATCACCTGGCTGTTCTTTGTTGCAATCCCTCGACTAGGTTTAATCCCCCTGGCTTATTTAAGATCTGCAAGCATTTAGACATTGGTTAGACCCTGTAAGACACGCCCTCTGCTCTTGAAAAGGCCGAAGCCCCTCAAAGATTCTGGAGCACAAAGGCTCTTCATTGTGGAGTCAGGAGGGGAACTGGCATTTGTTGATTGGCCACAATCTATTCTCAGGAGTATGTGTAATACAGGGGTCCTTGGGCGGGCAAATGGTTCATGCTTAGCTGCTAACCAACAGGCTAGAGGTTCAAATCCACCCAGAGGTGCTGCGGAAGAAAGGCTTGGTGACCTCCTTTCCCCAAAAGCAGCCATTGAAGACCTTGGGGAGCACAGTTCTACTTGGGCACACATGGGTCTCCATGAGCTGGGATGGGCTGACTGGCAACTGGGAAATGCCTAAGAGCCATCCTGGCTTGATGTTTGCACCCCTTTACCATGCGTCCACCAGTAATTGGTGCTCAGAAGCATGCGTCGAACTCATGCGCGAGCAAATGGGATGACTTTTCTCAGTTTGGGAAGTGAGATCCCAATCCGAGGCTTGCTGGCCCATGGTCCCACAGTGCAGAGCGGGAACCTGCATTCTCTCGCCAAAGGTCTATTGCTCTTGCTACAACCTCGGCCCATACCCGTAACTACAGACTGCCGCTCCATCTGCGGCCACCCTTCCACCCAGCGTTCCGCGCAGGAATGCAGGCTCGCTGGGTCTGTGGACGCTGTGCTGGCAAGCCTGCGGCCAGGCAGATGGTGGGTCGCTTCACTTAGGCTTTCTTTGATCCGCAGGAATGAGTTCCGAGCATGGCCAGACATCAAGCCTGTGAAGGCAATAAAAGCCAAGACCCAGTACAAGCCCCCGGATGATAAGATGTCTCACGAGACCAGCTACAGCGCCCAGTTCAAAGGGGAGGCCAATAAGCCCGCGCCTGGTGATAATAAGGTCATGGATCGCAGAAGGGTACGCAGCCTCTACAGCGAACCTTTCAAGGAAACCTCAAAGGTGAGGCCCACCTGTGGGAGCCCATCACCTGGATGGCCTGGGGTGGAAGAGCTCAGGGGTGGGGCTTCCACCCATTCTGGCCAGCCACACCACCTTCCTTTCCTCAGCAGCATCCAAGACAGGGGAGCTTCCTCAAACTGTTGTTAAATTCAAAAGGAGTAAAAAGGAAACGCTACCTAAAATCAAAGTTCTTTTTTTTTTTTTAATTTTAAATCAAAGATTTTTAAAATCCGGCAGATTTTCAGATCACTAGCTTCTGATTTAAGAAACTCAGGTGGGGCAGGGGTGGCAGGAGAGTGGCAGAAAAATCTCACCTGAGCCCTATGCCAGCCTCTGTCTGAAAATAGCTGTGCTTTGGGCCCTGACAGACTAGTCCAGTACAACCGAGACCCCTGTCCATCTAGCCTCCACCTCATCTTCAGCTCCTATCACCACGGACCCTCCCTTACCTCCCCAGCCCCTTGAAAATGGCCTGTCTTTTCCCATCCATCCCATTGGTGAATGCCACCCACCCACCCACAGGTCTCAGTCTGTCAGGATGCATCTCTCACAGCTGCAGCAAGCAAGATGTGTGCCACGTGGTCCATTCCTGTCATAGAGAGTGGGTACAGGGTTTACATGTCCAAGTAGGTGGCAGTGGATTCAGGGACTTTCGTCTTTAATAACACTACCTGGCCCCATTTGCATCCCAGGATGCTTTCGTGCAAGCGAGAGAAATGTTGAAGATGCTGAAGCCAGAACCCCACATGCCCAGCAGCCTGGCCTAGTCCAGGCTCATGGGTCCTGCATCTAACGGCAGACACAGGGCTGAGAGCCCCTGCGGGGGTGTCTGCTTTGTCCTACTGTCTTGCACTCAAGTGGACTTTCCTCCCCGGCTCAAGACGCGTTTACGGATAAAGTGACCCAGCAACTCAATCTGCCTGGGAATCTTAGTTTAGCACTGCAAGTCCCCTGTCCCCAGAAACCCCTCAGCCCCGGGGGCTCCTGGGTTCTCTGAGAAAGAGAAGGCCAGCCCCTCTCCTCATTGAGGGAAGCTGAGCCACAGAATACAGGGCAGATCCTCCAGTAAGCAGGGGAAGCCTGGGCTTACTCCCCAATAATCTGTGAATACTTTCAGAAGTGAGAACCGTGGGTCACTGTCCCTAAGCACAAGTAAGCTCCTGCTTACCTTGCTTCCGGAGTTCTTCCTTGTCAGGGATGGTACCTTTGTAAAGGAGTTTTAATTCTGCAGGAAAGTGCTGTCGGGTTGAGAGAGAGACAGAGCCCAGTCATACTTAGAAGCAGCATTTTTTTAGCGGGGAGAGAGGCTGGGCAGAGCAGAGTGGACTTAGACTGGCTGGGCAGAGGCGGGCTGGGCAGTGCCAAAGGCCTGTGTGCAACGGGAGAGCATTTGGCTGAGGCCATTTCTCCATGACAGAGGGAGGGAGGGAGGGACAGAGGGAGGGAGGCCAGCTCATGCTGCTGCCCTGCACCCCCACCCAGGATGAGCCACAGTGCATCTCTGATTCCTTAGGGATTGGCTACTCCCCTCCCCTCCGCATCGGTTGCATCTTCAGCCTGGGACTTGGGGTGACGGAGCACCTCTCCGTGTCAGAAACACATGCTGATCCTCAAATCCTCTGCCTGGCGGGGTGAGGGGGTGGGGAGAGGGGTTGGGGAGAGCCAACATCACCTCTGCTCACATTGCAGGCCTGAAACAAGTCACGTGCCTGGGTCCCTGCTGAGTAGGGTGACGAGGTGTGGCCTTCCCACAGGGAGGGGCAGCCAAGACTGCAGGATGGCACTAGGGGTGACCCAGGGGTAAGGACCAGCAGGGCCACCTGGCCAGCATGAGAGCCACCACAGTAACTGAGCAGGGCTCTCAGAAGGGAAAAGCCAAAGGGCCTAACACCAAAGAGAAGACACACATACACACACACCTGCACACACACACACACACACACACACACACCTGCTCCCTCAGCATCCGAGTGCATGATCAATGATGTCTTCTGTCTCCACTCTCTCTCCTGCCCTCTCCCCTTTTGTGTTTCCGTCTTTGGCGCCTGTTTGTCTCTCCCGGGCAGGTGGAGAAACCTAGCTTTCAGAGTTCCAAACCAAAAAAGACCTCTGTCAGCCACAAGACCCCGAGGAAGGCCAAAGACAAGCAGGTGGTGTCCGGCCGGGCCACCAAGAAAAAGAGTGCAGAGACTCCCAGCCCTGCTGGACCGGAAGACAAGGAGCAAAGTCAGCAGATGAACAATAAACTGGCTGAGGCTAAAGAGTAAATGTTACCGCATTTTCCTTTTTACTCCTCTCTCCTTCCTTTTCCCTCCCCCTTCTCCTGCTTTTTATTATTCTCATTATTATTTTTAATTTTAAAACAACAAAAGGCCACAAAATTGATTAGAGGCTTCTCGCCTGCCCCGGCCCTGGGGTCCCTGGAGGTCTCCGGCTGGGAGGAATCCTCTTTCAAAGACTATGTGGCTTGCTGCCTCCCCAAATCCAGGCCAGAGGGCCTGAGTGGGGCCCACACTCCCAGGCTGCTGAGCCCCGGGGAACCCAGGGCACCCTGCTTCCCAGCTGTGCCTTCCCCTACCAGGGAGGGAGGCGGCAGTGCTCAGTTGGGAGGGGCCAGAGTTTCCTCAAGGGCGCTGAGCAGGACTCCTGATGATCCACCCCATCCCTACCCCACCCCCTGCCCCTGCCCTGAGGTCTGTTTCAGTGGTCACTTGTGAACATTAGGTAAATCCCTTCCTTTCCAAAATTCAGAAAAAACGACCCTGTGTTGTAGAAGCTCATCCTGGGCCTCAGCGCGTGACGCGATTAGTGAGGACAAACCAAACCACCTTGGCCTTAATGTCCGTACAAGGGAGTGAGTGCTGACTGTCCCCTGAGGCTGTTCTGTGAGAGCTGTCTGGTCTGCACGGTTTCCTGTCCCTGGGCTTCCCTTGTGGATGTGGCTGGGCCCGATGTCTAAAAGGAGGCCAGGGTCCTGAAGGAACATTCTACAAGTCACAGGAAGGTCACACAGGTGGAAGAGAAGATTGTGTTCCTCTGTTTACCCGCAGTGAGCTACCCGTCCCCGCCCTGGACTGCCGAATGGGCAGAGCAGCTCCTGCAAGGTGACCGAGGAAGAACCTGCACGTGGAGGCTGGGCCCCTTGTCAGGTGCTTGTCTTGCTTTAGAGAGACACTCGAGGCAGAGGGAGGAGGGGACGCGGTCAGGATGGTGATTCTTAACTCTTCTCTTTCCAAACTGTCCCTCCGCGGGGAACAAAGGACGCCGGGCTTCCGGTTATGGGGACAGTTCTGTCCCTTGGCTAAAGACTGGGTGAGGTCTCCGCCAAGTGGTTGGCAGGCCTGTGGGGCCTCCCTGATGGACAGAAGCAGCTCTCCGAGTACGTGTTGTGTGTCGTGTGGCCGTGCGGCCCAAGCCCCCCCACCCCCTTAGCTGTGCCGGCGTCGTGTGGTTGTAGGAGTTAGGGAGTTGGCGTGAAAAGATGCCCCAGTGCTCATACCAAACCAAAAGCCCCCTGCCAGTCCGACCAGTCCGACCGGCACCATTCCCCCAGAGTGCTTCCGGAGCTGCGAATCCTCCTGGCAGCAGACTGCCACACCTTTCCGCTGCAGCGAGGCTGGTGGGTCCAAAGTGCCCAGCTTGCGATTGGCGGCCAAGCAATTTAACCACTGTGCTGCCAGAGCTCCTAGTGCCCTGAATATCTAGCAGAAAAAAATTCTGCTTGCTAATGCAAAGCATCGTGATGTGTGTAAATTGCCTCTTATGCTTTCTCTCCCGTGTCCGGGCAGGTCCCGATTATTGTCCCCAGTGTTCTGAGACTGCAGGCCGATTGTTACACAGCCTCTGCTCTGACAGTTGCCTTTCCTTCCAGAATAAAAATGCTGAAGAGTGCAGGCCCCATAGTCTCTTATCGAAAAAGCCCCCAAGGGCCCTCCTTGTGTAGAGGAAGCAGCGCTCCCATCAGCCCTCTGTTTGGGGGACCATCTGCTGACCATCGGGCAGCAAGATATCTGTTTATGTGGTTTTTGTCTAGCACGTGGGATGTTGTTTGCAAATTATCTCAGTAGGTGCTATACAAGCTGTACTTGTTAAGAGAACAGGGATATGAGAAATGGCGCTCTGCCCGGTCCTGCAATCCCCCTTTGACCTCAGGATACAGAGCTGTGAAGAGAGAGGTGCCTTGCAGAAGGTAGACAGGCGAGCAGGCCCGTCTGGAAATGACTAGAGCAGACCGCGGTATTGATTGCAATGGTTTGCTAACTCGCCTTACCATTAACCAGAGAGTCTAGCCACACAATCTTAACTTTATCCTGAGAGTCCACCCATTTAGGTTTGCTCTCTCAAGATCCGACCTTAGCCAGACATGGCGATGCTAGCCACAATTAGGATTTGTCCATAGCAGAGTCATATAGATCTATTTGTGTTGATCGAATGCCTGCGAACCAGGCACTATGCTGCATATCTACAGGCATTACATATGGCGACACCTATCACCCCTCCATTTCCCCAGCAATACAGCCAGAAGGATGCATAAGGCTTGATCCCAGATTTCCAGTTTACCCCAGGGCCTTCTCCAGCCACCAGGCAGCTCCCAGGGACTAAGTTTGCCACCCTGTGTAATGCCCCGGACAGCCCCAACCAGACTGCCCAATACAACCCCTGATCCGTAGTGCACAAGGTCACAGCTTCCACCACCACCAAGGTTCTGCTTCTTAAGCCGCCTGGCTGGCTGCTGTCTCTCTTCCAACCCCATAGCACCTTCCTTCAGGATCCAAGCTTCTTTCAATTAACCATCCCGAACAGGGATGACGTCCCCTGGGAGCAGAGTCAGCACGGGCCGACTTGTGCTTACTCCCTAATCTGTCATGGGCAGCTGTCCCTCTTTGACGTGGTGAAAACATGTGACACCATTCAGGACAGATGAGTGACAGCAAGCACAAGTCCCCTCTCTTCTTGCACGACCTGCACCCTTCGGCATCCGCCTCATTGTTAACTCGTCCTCGCCCCGAGGAAACAAACCCTGCTTGGGGTTCCTTTGATGGCTAGAGTGCCTGCAAGGCCCCCTTTTTCCACTCTCTGGTGGGCACATAAAAATCGGAGCAGTCCCGTGCCATTCCCCAAGCACACTGCATGGAGCCAATGTTAGTTTGACAAGCAAGTGGTTTGGGCTCTGCCTCTCTGAGGGTGACCAAGCCCCCAACGCCTGCCTGCCCTGCCCCTCTCTTTATCCGCCCCTTTGTCTCCCTGTCTTCCCTGGCAAGAGATCGAGGACTGTGCTGCCCACTGTCTGCTTGGCCTGCTTGTGAGAATGACCCGCAGAACCCCCGCACCATCTCTGTGCTCCCCACTCCCGCATCTCCCCACCATCTCCATTCCCCGACCCCCCTTCCATATGCCTTTGCCTCTCCGAGGCAGACAGGAAGTGTCTAATTCCGATTTTGTGGCCTGGGTTTTGTTGCATACCACAGATTGTCTATGTAACGTGTAGAGCACACCTCTCTCGGTGCTGTTTCCTTCCCGCTGTTAGTAAGAGAATAACCAAAAAAAAAAAAAAAATTCATGTATAGCCAATTGATTGTGACGTGCTTGTGGTCTGTGCTTCCTCAGATAAAAACAAACAAACAAAACCAATCTCAGTCTTTTCTGATCTCAATAAATGCTCAAGACGAATGCCACCTTCTTGACCTTATTTCCTTGGTGAGGCCCGGAACGGCCTTTGCCTGGGAGCCCCTCTGCAGGTGACGAGGAGGCCTGTGCGTGCCAGGGCTTCTTCCTAATGCGGCTTGACTCTGTTAGATCGCCTCTCAGGTGCTAATTGCGAGCGGTCAGAGCTAAGTGTGGGAAAGGCGAAGACGGACCGGGAGACCCACTGGCCAACCAGGTAGCGTAATGTTTCATCGCACGTGGTCGGGGACCAGTGACTGCCTGCGCCTAGCTCCGCCTCACCGCGCTGGGTGGGGTCCGGCCTCTCACACTCTGCCCCCTGCTCCTGCCGTGGGTTGGCGGAGATGCTTGTGTTAAAGCATTTGGTGGATGGCGAGGTGGAGGTTCTGCCTTCTGGGGGCTGGCTCACCGTGTGGGCTATGGGATGTCTACGGGTCTGTGCCTCACCTGGGGTGGGGACTAGCCAGGCAGTGGCAGGTTAGAGAGCCGGAGTTCAGATGATGGATGGGTTACCCCTATTGGGGGGTAGGGAGACACAGAGGCTCTGTGGCCCAGGGGCCTTGGAGAATGGGTGGGGGCAGGCTGGTGAGCAGGTCTGGGGTTGGGAAGGGCGAGAGGCGGAGTGGGAACTTCAACGCTAAAGCCACGTTTGCTTCCTGTGAGCTCAACCCCTTTTGCTAGAGTGGGAGACCAGGGCTTTTATTCTGCATGTGTGAGATGCCCCTTTATCTAGCCAACAAGTACCCACTGAGGACCTGTCATGTGCCAGACACTGTGCTGGGCACTAGGAACCCAGGATGGCCCGGTCACACTGGTGCAGGAAGGACCAGTGCATTCTAGCTGGTTCCATGCATCAGGGCGGGCCTCAGCAGAGGGGTAGGTGTTGACCAGGTGAACTGGGCTGGGGGAGGCAAAGGCATGCCCAACAGAGGGAGTTGCATGAGCAATGATGTGGAGGGCTCAAACAGGGGAGCCTGGGCCGGGGAGGTGGGGCGAGGGAGGAGGGTGGGGGTGAAGGTGAGGGAGGGGATCGTTCACCTGAGGAAGGTCCAGGCACAGGCAGCCCCTGGTCATGGGAAGATCTGATTCCATATGGTCTCCATTCCATATGCCCAGACTGCACCCCATGCCCCTGCATGCCTCCCACTATCATGCTTCTCCCCCCATCCTACCCATCAGGCCACCACCTCCGCTCCTCTTTTACTTGATGGGGGTGGGCCTATTTCTCTATTGCTGGCCCCTGATTTCTGGGTTTGGGTGGGAGTGGGGAGCAGTGGCCGGAATCAAGGGTCACATCTGGGTAAAATAAAAACAAACCCAATGTGTTTGTCTGCCGAATGAATAGGAAACAGTCTATTGATCGGCCCGCTTTTTTGCCCCGCCCCCCTGCCCCTCACCCCAGGTGGGAAATGAAACAAATACTCAGAAGTTTGACACCCGGCTCCCTTGACCCGTTGAGAGAAGGGGAAACAAAGGAGAGAAAGCGGGGCACCCAGAGAAAACCATGTCCAAAAGAGCACTGGCCGCCAGCCACTTCTACCTGTGGCTTTCAGAATGTGTGGAAGTCGGAGCAGGGGCAGGTTCTTATTTAGGCTTGGTTGGCATGGTTCCAGGGCCGTGTGTTAGGCTTGGGGGCTCATGCAAGGCAAGGGCTTCGTTGTGACTTAAGAGCTGCCCTGCAGCAAGGGAGGGCGATTGTGAGCTGGAGTGCTTGTGAGCAGGGCATGGTGCCCTCGCCGTCAAAGTGAGGGCACAGGCATATCACGCGAAAGGTCGAGCAGGACTCATCCCTAAGAGCTTGCTAAGCCCTCACCAGAGCCAAACCCACTGCCTTTGAGTTGATTCAGACTCGCGGCAGCCCTGTGACACACACAGGCCCTGAGGATGATGTGCGCCCATGGGAGCGGGACACACCCCAAACCATGAGACAGGGGGGCGGGAGGCAGGGCCACCCCTAGGCAGGGCTCACTCAGAGCCCCACTCCTCTACGGCTTCTCTCAGGCACCCCTGGTGCTGGCATAAGAGGATGGCTCATGGCTGAACTTGCTTCCTACAGCACCCCACCAGCCTTATAAGATCCAGCCCCCTGCTCCACAAACAGCCCATCGCCACTAACTTAGGTATAAGTGATTTTCAATTCTTCCTGAGCCTTTGAACATTTCTTTCGCTCATTTTCCCCCTCCCATCAGGGTTTAACATTTTGTGGCTGCTTCCCACAGGTTTGAGGAGTATCGAGTCCCGTTTCACAAAGGCACTCCCACTGCATCATGTTCCAAGGCCCTTAGACTGCTAAAACTCTTATGGCCGGTTGGCTTTCCAGGACCCCAGATAGAAAAGGCTCCTCTTGGACTGTACATTGGGGACCGTGTCCAGTGAGAGCAAGGCCCCACCTCTGTCCCTCTGCAGGGCCAGCAGCAACGGGAGAGCAGCTGCCGTGCCTGGAGACACGAGAGGCAATAGCCCTCTCCTAACAGGGTCTTTCTTCCTCCACTGTCTTGGGTGCATCCACACCCCGCACTCACAACAAAACCCCACTCACCACCATCAAGGCCTTTCCAACTCACAGCGCCCTGATAGTGTAGCTGGGTCTCTGGTTGTGCTGTTAACTGTTGAGTCAGGTCAGCAGTTTGAATCCACCAGCAGCTCCGTAGGAGAAAGATGAGGATTTCTACTTCCGTGAAGAGTTACAGACTCCGATTTCTACTCCCGTGAAGAGTTACAGACTCTGAACCCACAGGGAAGTTCCACGCTGCCCTGTAGGGTCATTGTGGGTTGGAACTGGCTCCCTGCAATGAGTTTGCGATCATAAGACCTGTCATGACAAGGAATCGGACTGGCACCCTGAATGTGCTTTGTGGATCCCTGGTGCCACAGTGGTCATGCTTTGTGCCGCAACCTGCAAGGTCCGCAATTTGAAACTGCAGCCGCTCCACAGGAGAAAGATGGGCAACAGATACAGCCCCAGACACCCACAGGGACAGTTCTGCCTGTCCTCCAGGGTGATGGCAATGAGTGAGTTGGAAGAGTACTTCATGATCCATGGTGGCTGGTGGCTGCTTAGCACTGGCCACTCGTCAGTGTTTAAGATTCATGGGCCAGTGCGGCCGGGTGACTCCCTGCCAGTCATTTCACCCAGAGTCGTGGTGTTCTGTGGAAAGGGACACAGCAACCCCCACTGCAGAGGGGAGGGGGTGGGAATGAGAATGAAATGGGACCATGGCTCTTGAGTGGATCTCGACTCAGAGACCCTATATAGGACAAGGTAGAACTGCCCCTGTAGGCTGGAAATCTTTATGGGAGCAGAAAGCCTCGTCTTTCTCCTGTGGAGCAGCTGGTGGTTTCAAACTGCTGACTCTAGTGAGCAGCTCAACTTGAAACCCACTACACCACCTGGGTTCCCTAAAGGAACCAGAGAGAACCCTACATACACGATCATTTCACCACTAAATGCACTAGACATCAGAAAGGGCCTGCCCCTTCCATCTCTGGTCTAGACCTACATGTTGTCCCTCTCTCTGGTAGACAGAAAGTTAGTCTTCGGTTGGGTTCTCTAGAGGAGCAAGGCCAGGGAAGCACAAAGCTAGAAATGCGTAAATACCAGTATTTATAGATGACACACGTAATACATAAAATCTTGTTTCAAGGAAATGACTCATGCAGTTGCGGAAGCTAACCGGCCCCGAATCTGTGGGTCAGGCATCAGGCCAGGGACTTCTTACTTAGATCATTTCAGCGGCTGAGAAACCCAAAGATGGCAGGCTGTTGGCTCACATCTCAAGAACCCTAGATCAAAGGGTGATATCAGATGCGGGATGAACTTTGCCAGAAATCCATATCTACTGGATGAAGGGAAATACATCTACCTCCTCCCCACCCCCAACCCAGGGAAACTCTTTCAACGGATTAGCTGCTCACATCAGATCACAACATGGAGACTCATTGCATACTGTCTGTCAGACCGCTGAGCATCACTGCCTGGCCACGTGGACACACACCCATCAGAGTTCCCCACACGTGAGGTGTAACACTACAGGAAGTGGACTGATAGAGGCAAGGCTCCAATGAAGAAGGTTCCCTGGAATTCCAGTTATTCATGACCTTGGGTCCATAGACCCAAACAATATCATGCAAACAGTTGATGTATTTTTTTATTATTGTACAAAGCAGTTCTGTGTCATTCCATTGAACTCTTCTCATGTGTCAAGCAGATGTTGGCCCCAGGGAGCCAGGTAACACCTTAGGCAGGGGAGTGCAAGAGGGTGGGGCTTCCTCAGTCCAGTCTGGAAAGATGAGGAAGCAGCTGGAGTGTGAATGTTGGATCCCGCAGGTCCTCCCCCTCATCTGAAGGAGGCCCGGGCTGGCTAGGAACAAACCAGGTTTCAGACGAGCTTGAGTGAACTAAAACGGAGCCCCCACCCCACAGTCTCCCTCTGGCTGGGCCACCATGGGCCCTCCAGCAGACTTACCTGGTATCTCCTTCAAACAGTGGGAAACAGATACAGACCGAGGGAACGTGAAAATCGGAGCAGGCCTTTACACAACCCACTCAAAGGTTTTGACTGCAGTGACCAGTCAGCTCAGCCAATATGCAGGGTTTTCTCCCTCGGGCACTTCGTTAACGCATTAGGTAGCTGAAGCAGATGGCTGTTACATAGAGAATGGCCCAGCAGATTTCAGATTAGAGACACCAGCATGAAACTGGCATCCATTCCCTGGGGCATTCGATCAGAGACCACCGTTTTGTGCATTTTATCACAAACCGGGAAACTGAGCTTCTGTCCCTTAACCTCAATCACTGGTTAATTTGGCATTGTATCTTAACTACCTCAAGGCATCTTACCTGGGGCCAAGGTAGTTCCAGGAGCTGAGAGATAAACAAATTACTGCTCTAAGTGGCCAGAGGGATCTTCAGGACATGCAAGCTGATCATGTCACCCCCTGCTTCAAACCATCCCTGGGCTCCTCTG